GCACGCATCGTATTTCAACGGCTCAGTTTAATGTTGGGCAATAAAATTAATATCAGTGGTGATTATATTTCATTGCTGGACTCCATTCGGATCTCATAACATCCGAATGGTATTCAGCAACGCGAGTAAAATGTAATTCAGGCAGGTGATCATTTTCTGCAAATTCAAAAGTTTTCATTTCATCCTAATTTATTAACAAGTTTCAAAGAAATATAAGTCAGTGCATCACAATCTGCGAACAAGTAAATAGCGCTCAGGAATGCGTCCAAACACTATTAATAACAATTAAAAATATATATCAATGGCCCAAACTTTTTAACTAATCGCAATGATAACCTACTTCAAATTTTGAATAAAATATCATTGATTATTCGTAAACCTTTCACCAACAACCCCGGTTCAGAAAAGTACATATTTTTACATTCACTAAGAATGTAAAAATATAAAATATAAAATAGTCACTTCGATAGACGTCTTTTGATAGCAAAATCCCGATCTGTAAAACTGGCACTTCAGATATGTTATCAAAATAAACGGTTGACGTGCACAGAGCCGTATTATTTCCGGCAAACGGACGCAGATCGAGGTGCTTCTTAGAGATGGCAAAAAAAAAATCACTTACGCAGTAACTGTCCAAAGTGACAGCGCGAAATATACGTATGGCAAAGTTATTTTAGTCCGAATCACATTTTACACAGCCATAGTTCTTATGCCATCGAGAAAGAGCTATAACTTCCGTGGCGTAACGACATCGCGAAAGTACCTACTTTAAATAATTTACATGGATGTCAGACAAGGCCCTGATCTTGGTGTCACCGTGGGATATCGTATGGGTGGATAAGTGTATCTAAAAACCACAACTCATTAGTCATCTTTTATTATTTATAGCTTTGTTTACAAAACTTTTTTTTATAAATAATTAGATTATGTATACCACTATTTGAAGTGTGCTGTAAAGAAAGAAAAAGGTATTTAGGGTAATAATCTATATAGATAAGGTAATAAATAAAATATATTTACATAAATATTGTGTTATACGAAACGTTGGACGTTTCGTATAACACATATTTATTATTGCAGTTTATTTTATAAGCTCTTTATAAGCCGATAATTATTATTACTGCCGACCCCTTTGATCTCACCAGGGCAAGTACCGGAGCGTATAAGTCTGCCTAAATTAGAACATTACAAAATCATTAAAGTAATTGTGTACGTATTTCTAAATCTCATTAAAAATAACCTGTAAGAAAGTTGCAAAATCCCCATTGAGTGTTCAGATACTATTCGCTTCAATTGCGCTGTTACAGGTTGAGGTAGTCCTGCGTTAATTACTATTGACCAATTTAGTTCTTTCGTTGGCCTGTCCATATTTGTACAGAAACTTTCTGATAAACGCTTCCGTCGGAAAATTAAATGGGAATTGTTAACATTGTGCTTCTCAACCAGATTGTCTGGAACAATTAAATCTTTTATGACAATGTACCGTACCTTAAAAGTTTAAAAAAAAGAAAGGGAAGGGCCAAGTTATTTATCGATTTATAAGATCACTATCTTGTCCGTCTCTCTGTCCGTGTGTCACCACCGATTTTCTCAGGAACGGGAGAAAAGGCAAGGCCCTACAGCACAAATAAAGGAAAAATTTCGAAAAATAAAAAATAAAGTAAATTTACAAATTTAAAATAAGCTACTTTCAAGATTTCGCGAAATATCTAAATTTGCCCATATATTTTTATCGTGTTGACTCAGGACCAAGACCTTGATTTTTATATACCTAATTGGGCTTATATACTTCAGTATCTGGTATAAATTTCAACTTGCTAGCTCCACTCATTCGTTCCTGTGAAAATCGGTGGTGATTATTTACCAATTTTATTATGGCGGTATAATGGGTAGGTACGGAACCCTCGGCGTACGGGTTTGCCTTGCACTTGACCGGTGTTTTTACAACATAATCTCAGTAAGCGTTCAAAAAAAAAATTTAAACACCGTCCAAGTGCGAGTTGCACACGAAGGATTCTGTGCCATTATTTATAAAAGTGGCAAAAAAAATCATGTGAGATATATGGGAGCCCTACTATTTAATAAGTATTTTTTTATTCTGTTTTTTAGTATTTGTTCTTATAACGGCAACAGATATACGTCACCTGTGAAAATTTCAACTATCCAACTATCACGGTTCATGAGATACAGCGTGGTGACAGACGGACAGGCAGACAGACAAACCGACAGGCAGCGAAGTCTTAGTAATAGGGTCCCGTTTTACACCTTGTATACTTTATGTTATTTTATATATTATTGTATACTTTATGTTACATACTTTATGTTATTCTGACGTATAAGCTATATTATTATAACTTTCGTTAAAATCCATTCAGTAGTACCTATTTGCGTGATAGAGCAACAAACATCCATCCATACATACAAACTTTCGCGTTTGTAATATTAGTAAGGATTATTTAATTTAATATTATTCAATACATACGAACCGAGTAAGTGTAATGTTTCCACATCGAATAAAGATAATTAGAATTTGAATTAGAGGCGACACTAGACAATATATTGTGAAAGTACACGAAGTGACAGAAGACTGTAGGTTATTTCGTCTTAACGTTCGGACGCCTTTATTTGTGTTTATTGCGATAAATCAGTTTCGCGCGATTGGCAGCTGGCGATGTGGCCGCAACCCCGGGGACCAGCGGAGCTGGAGCGAGGAGCACGTCGCCCCTTCACGTGAGGTCTCTCCGTTGCGCGCTGGCCGGGTTGGCACTTTTAAAACGACCTAAACAACCTTCAACTTCATTGATTAACCGTCGTGACACGTCGTAAGCGTTTGTTCAATATGAAACAAATTACAAAAGTTATTTCCTTGATGAACAATAAGCTGAAGCTTACAATATCCATATGCATATATACTAGGCAATAAAAAAAAATACGTTAAATCGAAAGTCCTTGGTGGAAGTCATTGCGTTTTCAACACGGGACCACGGTTTCACCTATGAGTCGTAAGTCAGAAGTATCCTTGAACCGAGAGTAAAAACGATCTTCAAATAATATCTTTAAGAAACGATGCAGATACTGTTATAGGTATGGACCCATCAGTCTATCGTACCTATTCTGAAATACACAGTTTATAGGAACCCACAAGATCTTTTATTCTAATATAATATTACCCGAATATATGTATAGTCTGTGCGAAATAAGAAAGCGAACGGGTTTATGGCGATGGGCATCTCACGACCGTTTGCTGGTTTTACGACTTATAGCGGGAAGCGATTTGCAACTAATAAATAGCATTTCGCAAACAAAGCAAGCGAACAAACAAGACACTAAAACTATTTTGATGCGTGCTCTGTTGTTTTTTCATGACACCCTTATCTTCTTCTTTACACACCCTTATCGACTTCCGATAGCTCTTTTGTAGTTAAGTTTCACAGAGGCCCTTTTAGCTTTTGAAGTACAATGAGGGAAATTTGTTTTATGATTGTGAACGATGCATGCGCTTTTATTGAAAACGAAGCTTGTCACCGAAAATAATCTGGGCAGTTTTCGAGCGAATTTCTCAAACAAATTAGGTGTTTTCATGAGGATTAACATAATACAAATCACTTATTTTTTTTACAAAGTAACAAAAAGTTCTCTTGAGCGTCTAGAGCTATAATTCCTTAAAGTACTCCCTTTTAATGATTTTTTTTCAGTCATGTAGACCACACTATTAATATCGTCACTACATAGTACAAAACAAAGTCGTCCCGTTGTCTGTCTGTCCGTCCCTATATACTCGTATGCTTAGATCTTTAAAACTACGCAACGGATTTTGATGCGGTTTTCTCTAATAGATAGAGTGACTCAAGAGGAAGATTGCAATGCATAACGCATAATACAGTAGAGAAACACTGATAATTTTAAAGGTTTCTGTACTTGGTTTCTTTATGCGGAATCGAAAACAAACATTCAGCGGTGCACCCATGCGAAGCCGGGGCGGGTCGCCTGTATGTAGATAGACAAAGTAACCATAAACTTAATTTCAAACTTGTAAGTATTGAAAGTTCATAAACACGAAAGCCTAATACCCTCTCCAATTTGCTCAAGTTTCTATAAGTTTGCGGAGTGCGGAAACTCCGGCACTTATATGTGAGCATGCTACTTGTACCTAGGTAGACAGTTCAGCGACGATCTAGATGCTAGCGCGAGCTGACTTGGCAACGCTTGGCAATTAGCCAGCCGCGACACGCACAACTTTGCTGTACTGGCAACAACAACTTAAATTGTACAAAACACCGAGTTAGCATTTACTCCTGGATATGACATAATAAAATAATAACAAGGTTTTTATTTAATTTACAGTGTTTGTTTTCTGAGTTTAGATCGTATGGGTGTTATTTTACAAAATATATTAGCTATGAGGGCATTTTCTTCTTGAGAAGTGATTACCAACGCTCATGGATAGAGCTCTCGCGGCTTTTGGCATTTTATATTTTCCTTGGGATGGTGGACTAGTAACATCTCTAATCAGGCAAATCATAGGTGTCCAAGATGTAAATATTTACCTATTCCACGAAAACGAGAAATACAAATTATTTTCAAGTGACAACAGATGCAACTCTATGCACTTGATTTGATTGCGTATTAACGTTATCTTCTGGCATTTGTGGCGCTTCATGGCCATTGCCACGTCTTCCTGTGTGAAGGAATGCTACTCTAAAATATATATTAACTACATTTCCCTTCCTCGACTACAGAGACCTGCTTCCGCTTTGTAGCAAGCTGTTAGTATTGAATTAACAATATAAATGCGAGTTTCAGGGTGTTTGGCCATTGTTGACATGACACTTGAAAAAAAACGCTTATTATACTGGATTAACACTTACGATGCTTTTATTTATGCAAAAAGTTGGCGGCATCGCGACGCGACTATTTACGAAGTATCGTAACGCATTGACAAACTAACAATTTGAGCTTCATTTTCTAAATGAATTAACTGACAATGGGCCAAACGGCAAATGGATAGGCGCTCGCTCGAGGGGCCGGAGCCGATCAATAGCGGAATAAAACAATCTACGGAGACAATGCCGGGTGCGGCTCGTGCTAGCATTCGGCTTGGCTTTCGGCGGCGGATTGGACAATAGCGTGCCGTGATGTACGGCAGTGGACGGCGCTGAGGACGGGGCTTTTAATTGGGCCCTATAAAGGCGAGTGAGCGATTGCAATCGTGTTAATCGGATGTCCATTTGGCCGATGGCGGAACGGCCGCCTGTCCTCGGAGCGGAGATTACTTTGTTCCCAGTTTATTGCACTTTATGGGCGGCGCGGACATTGTTACGACATGGGAGCGTCGACAGTACACCTCCACTGATTTTATAGAAACACGTTTCATTCGCATGCTAAGTTAACGTAATCTTAACGGCATTTCAGCAAAAGATCGTTTAACGATATTATATTGTGTTCATGTTTACTTCTTCTCAAAACGTCTCATTTTGCCTCTTCATTACTGGAAGTGTTGATGATTCGCACTATTTGTTTTTTATAATACTAATAAAGGAACCCAATTTTCCCTTCAAAGGCGTGCACATTCGCCTAACAGGAAATAAAGCGGCGCTAAATTTGAAGAAGGAAGGAAGCACAATGTTCCCGCGGTGTCTAGCACCGAGCTCGCAATCAAAGTGTAATCGCGCTCCGTTCAATTTATCATAATAATATCATTGTTTCTGGTTCGGTCGCTCATTTCCGTTCAGGGGCGACGCGTGGCTTAGAGCCACATAGACGCGCCACTGATGCATATCGACTGTATTCATCGAGACAATGGTTCGATGACGAAATTGCCCGGAAATTGTCTTATTGCGTTACGCAGTTTAAGTAGTAAGGATGTTGCTTATTTAATATTCAATGTATATTTTTCTATAATTTCCATAACAACGATGTCTCTTATACAACTTGTCACACAACCGCGTTTTGGCCCTGCTAACCGAATTTGAGTAAATGGAAAACGACAGTAATTTAACAGTCGTGTTCAATAAGTAATTTCTGCCCACGTTATTGCGGTGGCGGATTTTTTTTGTAGTAACAAATACCGGTGACGTAGATGATATTCCTCGCTCCGTAGCGTTCGTCAACAGGATGGGGCATACCGGTGCGTGATGGAGGAAATAGTGCCGATTGCTTGGAGCCTACCGGGGGCTTAACACCACGACCACGCACTATGACATGTGACCAGAGATAGCCGCTCAAAGAAGCCACTATTTCAACACGTCCGCCGTTCACCCATAATATTTCATTTATCACAAAATAACAAAGGTTTACTTGCTCCCAAGCAAAGTATAATCAATTTAAGGTTATTAAAAGTTCTTATCCACCCCCGTTGCGGAAAGTTCGAGCTCTGTAACGGAAAAGCCGACCAACTTTCACAGCGTAATTGTTTGCCTTCAAATTTTGTGTGATAATGAAACCACATAGAGAAATCTTTTCCACGAACACTGTTTCTTTTTAAGGGTAATCGATTTGTTTAAATAAAATAATTTCACAGATTTTATTGCATTTCCTTTTTTTGTTTTAAATTAAGTTATCGGATTTTTTTTTCTAATGTGAATTGTTGGCATGCGGCGAGCAGGCGTTTCACCTTATGTTAAGAGATGAGCGATGCTCGTCTACGTATATAAGACGTGACGGATTGTCTCATTGGCCAAACGAAAGGCGAAAGTATAATACTTCCGCATCACGCTGGTATTCTTCTAGGTCATTCATTAGAGTTTAGGCGCTAGGATGCTATGTAATTGAAGGAAATCGTTTAGTAATGAGCCGGGGCCACCTGCCGTGATTCATTAATCGGGCCCTTTCGTGCCGACCGTACACTCGGACAGCTCTGAATATTTGATGGTGACGGTGGTGGCGTGGTGGGTGCGGTGGGGAGGTTGCACGCGTTGCTGGGTTGTTATTTCCCCATCATGTGCCATTAAGAGGCGCGATGGCGATCGTGTCAAATTCAACGCACTAACATTACCGCATTAGCGCGACCTAAACGCCGGTTTCGTGGAAACTTATTTTTGACGGTCTAATATTTCGTTCCTTTTCATGTCGTTATTTACGTTTCTTGTTCGTTGAGATTATAAGTTACATTATTCTTTTTAAGTTTACAGCATAAAAAAGATCCTGATCCATTCTTTTACACGATGTCTTATAGTTCATATCACAGTATCGCTTCATACTGTTCTTACTCTTTACTACATTCAAGATTTTAACGTCAATAACCGAGGTGATAAGAAACGCATAGCCGAAAGGAAAGTAAACATAGGGCCTCCGCCAGATACGAGGTCCACTCTGAGAGGTTTCCATCGCACGCGGCATTTATCGGTAGATGGGATCTGGGCGGGGAGGTGGCGTGATGGATGCTGCAGGAAATTGAGCCGCCGCCGGAAATCGGCGCCGAGCATCGCTCATCTCGCCAGGCAGCGGCCGCGCGATAAAGCCCTCACCCGATGCGCCATTCTAATGGGGGATAAGGCGCGTAATGGACCATCGTCGCCGTCTGTTGATGGCGTCACTTGAACTTCCCGAGTGGTCAATCGATCGCGTCGCCCTTCTGCATAACAGATTGTGCAAGCCACGCAAGAGCCGAAAGCAAAACCTCAGCGAATGAAACTTATTTATGAGAAATAACATTAGCTTCTTGTAACCGAAACGGCAAATGATTAAACCGACCGCTGTTCATAAATTATTAAAGACATAAAAACGTGACTGTGAGCTATAAATAGTAATAATAAAGGGGATGCCCATTTAAAATTCACCCTTAATGGCCCACTAGGCCGTTCATTAGACATTCGGCTCGAGCATCCAGCAATCAAGATAATCGCGACAATTAGACGCTAAAGAACCGTTAAACAACAAACATAATCGTCGCCACCCTTCGCCAGCGACTTAATCAAAGAGATTAATGGAAGATGCGAAGGGAGAATATTATTTGCATTTTTACGAATATTTAGAGGCGCCTCGCCTGGGCCCCGACAGTGCCGGGGATATTCAAATTCTCTCGCCCACTGGAGCTGCGAGGGAAAAAAATTAAAATGAAAATGGCGCATGACGTCGGCGCGGCATTAACTGTAATTGTTTTGCGAATGCGCGCGAAAGAAAAAAAAGCGCCATTATCGTCGCGTCATTAAATCGAAAATGGCGGCCCTTGCTTTGCTGCTCGACGGATTGTAACGTTTTGGAGATTTCGTTTTATTTTTATATCATTTGGCGGCGATTGTTTTCACTTATTGAAGAAATGTAAAAACTAACCATCATGTTCAAAGTCAGTGACAAAGCTGTTGTGTAACCATGAAGTAGGTATGTACATTGAAGAGATTTAATTTGTTTCAAAACCAAGCGATTACTACGAATACTTCTTCGGACAACCCGATATTCAAGTCCTGCGATCTTAGGTTCTAATATGTACATATACTTTACCTATTCTGTTTATTTAATGTGTCGCTCATTATAGATCAATTTACGAAATGCCGCCAAAAAATACCTTACGGAGCTCTCATCGTCACGCTAGTGGTCAATTACAACCGGGGGCAACAACGCCCACGCGAAGAATGAATAAGAGCGCTCGCCAAGGTTGACTGGGAGATAATGCTGATGCCATTAACTCCGCCTTTGTACATATATTATGTTTGTGCATCAAGAATAAATAAAAAAATAATAAATCCAAAACAATACTATGGCCCTGCAGACAGGTGCAGCCGCGGCCCACAATAATGTTATCGTCCCCGTTTCGAAGTTTTTATTATTTTTGTATGTGAGAAAGCAACCGTTTCGGGCGAATTTATCGCTTAGGGGGAGGTTTCGTGCGTAAGTGCTTCGTATAGGTACTTTGCGGTTGGTGCCGCGCAGAAATCAGAGTGTGGCGGTAATCGATAAGGCACGTGGCAACCGCAAACAGTTTTGGTGATTCCGATGTTGGATCTTTTTGGGCATTACTCGGAACAGGCGTTGGGATTTTTTGGGGACCTATTGTTAAAAAAGGTTTCTTGCAACATGTACAATTACCTCACGTCAGAAGCATGAATTTATCCTTAAAATTTCATAGTTTTTTAAGGATGAGAATTTACTTAACTAAGCTTAAACATGTGTCCGAGTTCTACAGATTGATTTGCTTGATTGAAATGTGTACAATAATATAAATACAATATAGGTATACTGTATGATACTGAATAAGATAAAAATGAATTATACAATTCAGTAAATACTAAACAGCACAGGTAAATAAAAATCCATGACAATATTCCATTTCCAATGCCACAAAACAATCCCCAGAAGCATAATAAATAAAAACGAGGCACTGCCAACTCTGGACAAATGACAGGGCTGCATCCGTATATTAATTAATGGATGGAGCGCCTCACGCTGACACGTTAGAATATAATAACGACGGCCCTTGTAGCAACGCGGCAACGTATTTATTACAATTCGTTTTATTAAGGTATAGATTGTGTTTGTATCATTGCATTAGTAGGCAAAATAAAAATAACTACAAAAGGAATACAATAATGAAAGTTGTAAATGCTCTCACATTAAAATGTGAAAAGTAGCCAAGGGAGCAGACGGTTCACCTGATGTTAAGTGAATACCAGCGCCACTGGTGGGTTCCAGATGCGTTGAGAACCTTTTAAAAAATGGGCTACGGGTACTCACCAGGTCGTGGTACTTACCCGGACGAACCTTAGTATGTTACTAAAGGGTTACATAATTTGAATTTATTATATTTTTTTTAAAGAGACAAATGATCGCCTATACACTTGCCACATAAGAAGATAGGATAGAGACAAGATAGTTTCGAGCAAAACGTAGATAGTGTAATGACAACCATCAAGGCATAGGTAAAAGGTAGCTTAATTTACACAAATTTGAATTACTTAATTTAATTGGTAAAACTTAAATGATTAGGCAACTAGATGTCGTTTTCTTAACGTGAGCTAAGGCGAAATAATGGTATGTGTAACACAGCGGTCCGTTGCTTTGACAGCGGCGAATCGGGCGGCGGTGGTGGCCTTGTGTAGTTACGCACAAGAGGGCGGCATCAAGACATTCGCCTCTCTTACTTTGCAATTTATGTACTTCAAAGTGGGGTGATCCAGTTGACTTGTTTAGAAGAAAGCGTACTTAATACTAAACGGAAACCTAAGCCGGTGGCGACAAAGATAGCGCAGCGTGGTCTCACGATGGTCGGTGGTCGACCAACAATGAATGGGGTCGAATTCCAAATGTGCATGCGAAGTTCTAAGGCCATACAGTAAGACAATGAAAAACCTACCAAACCACAAAAGAACGTACAGGGAGCTATTTAAAATGAAATCCAACTTAAGTTTAAAGAATTTATTCTCATAAAAACATAATTTTCACTTATAATTACAAACGAAAAACAAAACCAACTTCAATTATCTCGCTCTGCATTCAGTCAAAAGTTCTGAGGTAACAAACATAAATAAAAATGAGTCGAATTGAGTATCGCCCTCTAAAGTCGGTTGAAAAGTATAATGCAATCATAAATTTGTTAGAAATTGTTATTACAGTCACCTTGAAAGGTGAAAGATACTAAATTCAGATACTCCGCGTAAGCGCCAATTAGTCTCCTGGAGGTTTGTGCAACGAACGTTGAGGCGTACGGCCTCATTGTTCGTTTAAAGCTCAGTACACGACATGTAAGTTCTACGTGGCTATTGCTCGAACACGCGATAACAATTAAAAACAAAAGGTGGTTCTTAAAATTAACAAGCGAAGATAACAATCCCCCCAGTGAAGAGCGATATATGGGGCACGTGTAACCTCAAAAATGAAAAAGAATTACCTTGTAATATCTTCGCACTTTGCCTCTCCATATAAAATATAAAAAGATTCTATTAGAGTATTCCGAGAGGTCTAACTTTCGGAGAGTTACGAAAATAGATCGTACTTATATAAAATTCATTCCAATAAAAATGAATACATCGTGCATGGTTACCCTTCGTAACTTCGAATCCCTAAAAGAAGTTGTCTGTGCCCACCAATTACGTGTCTTATTGCCTGTACCGTACGACCGGTTTTGCTTCACTTAATGCCGGATCTTGGGAAAAGATCATTTCCTATCGGTACAAATGAAGAGTGATGAAGGTATATTTTTGCATAACGCCCTGATTTGTATCGCGGGGCCTACAGACCTCACGGAGACGACATTATTCAATCACAGCGGGTTCCGTTGGAAAATTACACGCAGATTTAATATTATTTTCAATCTGTTTCGTTAAAAAAAAATGTTTTACGGTAATAAAAATAAAATGTTACCTACATATTCCCTACAATTTATTTATCGGAACGAAGAAACACTGTTATTCTGAATCAAATTTGTTCATAAAGAATAATATGTACTTACGTATTTATCAAAAATTTACAGTGCCATATACGAAAAACGTGTTGTCCTTGTAAGAATTTTAAAACAAATTTTATAACAGAAGAGGACAAATCATAATTATTATTAAATAAGAGGCAAAATTCAATGATTTTACGCTATAATGCAATATTACCCGGAGGACCGAGCTTTGCTCGGTTTTTTTTTTTTTTTGTAAGGTAAGTATTCGAATTATATTTTTCATTCCCTGAAAACAGGGATAAAAGGACATTTTCTAAAAATGAAACCTAGCTAGATCGATTTTTCGCCCCCGAATCTACGCACATACTAAATTTCATGAAAATCGCTGGAGCCGTTTCCGAGATTCCGATTATATATATATATATATATATATATATATATATATACATATACATATATATATATATATATATATATATATATATATATACACAGCGTGTTGTTACCATCGCGACAATAAATGAACACACGTCTAACGCTACTTGCCAATAATCATAAAAAAAATATTAACGTTAAACAAAATCCATAATTAAAAAAATATTTTTCAAACAAACTAATTAAGTAAAAAATATACAAAATTTGTAACATCCTATACAACTCGCGCCACAGCGTCCTATTACAAGCTTCTCCTTCTAACAGCATGTTTTGTCTCTTTTAAATTCATTCAACCCATTCATATGCTTTGTGACCTTTACAAATGAACTTTACGTTACGCTTTTATAGGTAAGGATGTTCTAAAATTCTTTGTTTTGTAAAATTTAATAACTCTGTAAATATTGATGTTTAAAGAATTTAAATGTTTAATACAACTTTAAAAAGTTATCGCCTATATGTGTGTTCATTTATTGTCGCGATGGTAACGACACGCTGTATATACAAGAATTGTTTGTTTAAAGGATAAGATAGAAGCGCCTCACTGTTAACACGCACGTTAACTAGTAACAACGCTCTCTTGATTGTTTTGGCAGCTAGATGCGATAGTGCTTTGCTGTAGTGCGTCGATTCTGACTTGCAGAACATAAATTATACTAACTTTAACATTCCACTTACTAATATATGGATTGTAAAATTATCTGAAATAAATGTATTATTATTATAAATTAATGTTAATAACTTTTGGTCACGCGATCGGACCCTGTCGGCTTCATCATCATTTTATATATTCCCATTATACATCGTCATGATATGCATTTCGGAGATTTTTAATAATTTAAATACATAAGTAAATCGTAAGTTCTCAAAATAATAAGAGATATTATGAACTCCTATATAATGTTACCTATCACCGAAAAATGTTATGATACGAGTATGTACCTGCCGTAGACGTCACAATGCGTTTCATTTGTTCAACCGTTATTAGAGGATCTTCCGAAGCAGACCGTCACATAGACGGACAAACTTCTACATAAGTTTTAGAGCTGCTTTTTAAATTTAAAATGATGCAGGAACCTTAAGTCCTACAGCATCAGAATATATAGGCGAGCTTTAGATGTTATAGATCCTCTTCACGGTTAAAAGTACTTATTTCCTTATGTTAAAAAATCATATATATAATATGCAGCTTTAGATTAAATTACATCTATTTCTCATTTTATATTTCGGTTCTCCGAATGCCTATCGAGGTACATAGCGTTCTAAAACAAAATATTTTATAAACGTAAGACTAATGGTTACTACACCTAGTTCAGTTACCTTATCTACGTTAATGTTAAAATAATTTGTCGTATAGATGTCACAGGTTCAAGCTTCACCTTAATGTATTCAGCTCAGCCCTCTAGAACCAGTTGTGTAACAAAACGAACAAACCAAAACAAACCGTTCATTCGGAGCAAAAGGAAGATTGAAACCTGTTTGAGGATGCAGTCTAGTAGGACAGTCTACACAAACGACGCTAAACTCAGTTCACTATAGCCGTACACTGCAATTGAAATCCTTTTGTAAGCTCTGGTTTAATTGAAATTTCTAGAGCACTCTTATTGTTGTAAAAATTAGACGATCTGTTACCCGAGGAATCTAATAATAATCTGTTTTATCGAAAAAAAAATCTAACGCTAAACCCTAGGCTTAACGCCGCGGCTGGTGACAAAAGAGCTGGTTCTTTTCTCGCTCAAAGGTTAAGCAGGAATGAAAATTAAGCAGGAGGAATTCAGCGAGGAAATGCAGCTAGCGTTCTTGGCACCATGCCGCGTGCATTAGGTTTATTAGATAGTATGTAATTTTAGATTAAGATTAAATCTTGTAAATATTATATTTGAAAATCTGGATAAAATACAAATGAACACTGAGAGGCCTCTTCATCTTTTAAGTTTCTACGTACAAATACTGTAATGCTTTAAGTTTCAATGTAAATGTTATTCTTACTTAAAATAGGAGCCATCTTTAACATAAATCTTCTTTCTTTCTCGCTCTTTGTCTGTATGTCAATGAATATTGATGCCTATAATTTCTGGAAATAAAGACAAAATGGAGAGAAAACCATGGAGTATAATAGTATTCAATACGTTATCGATACTTTTCAAGTTTTAGTAAAAGGATCTGGCGAAGGTACTCGTCAGATATAATTTTTTAATTTTTGTAGTGATATTTTCTGCACTTAAAAATGAATTAAAAAATTTGGACTGTAATATAGCCACTGTATACGTGTAAAGGATCTCGCCCGATTTGATTAGAAAAGTAATTTCAATGCAACCAACCATGCGTCCCCCGGAGGCGCGAGGGTGCGCCACTCATCCGTTTCAATCAAAAATAATGATCTACGACCCTATTTTTAAAGAGCCATATTTTCACTCATATGTTTATTTTAAGTAGATCCTGACGTTAATGTTACCTGACATGAGTTCATCGTATCCATCTTTTTGCATTCAACCTTACTCATCAACATTAAAACATAACTTCGCGAGATAGTCTGGACAAAATGGCCTAAACAGGTAATGATGCACTGAAAACAGGTGCCGTTACAATTTTGTAGTCGTTTAGATGGAAATTCAACATATGTATTACGAAAGATATAGTCACTTCGAAAATCATACAAACATTGAATTTTCGGCACCTTTAATCTCTTAATAGTTTGCCCCGACCCTCGCAGAAGTCAACTTGCTACGCCGGAAATTGGCTTCCCCAGCAGGCAGGCTTTATGCAATACACAACATCGACTTAATAAATACTCGCTAACGAAATATACAACAATCCGCAAAACAATGAAATACTGAGGCCTGAACAACATCGAAGTCTCACTAATTTTGAAACTTTTATATAAAAGAGAATTGTTGATATATTATTATAAGTATAAAAAATGACGGCGTGAAAACAGCCAGAGAACAAGGCCTTGCCTCTGCGCTCTACCCAACGTTCGCCAGTGCAATTAGAGACATGATTTATAATATACCTCTGCACCACTCCCGCTGCCTGTCAAATATATTTTAATAATAATAAATACAGATGCTTAATGTAGTCATTTCGTGTAGGGGCTTGTTTTATGTGCCAGTAAACCTGTGCCGCAATTACTTGTTCGATATTTATCGACCAATACATAGCGTTGAACAGCGCAATTTAGTTAGGTTTAGATTTCCATTGGAATTGAATTATAACTTCAACTACGGACGGATCATCAATCGCATCTCAACTCGCTACTCCGTATTATTGGGCAGCAGTGAAACCTCCCTCTTAATAAATAATTGCCTAAGATAACCGTTATGGTTTAAGACAATTGAAAGTCCAAAGTAATTATAACGTGTTCAACGGTTTACATAATATAGGCGGTTCTTTTGTTTGTTTATAAATTTTTGGTAAAAAATTATATGCCTTGCGAGTCTGTAACCAAACGGGTGATACTTTCACTTTCAGCTGTAGGAGACATATTAATTGTATCTGCTGGCAGAAGTGGAGTCCAGCAGCCCCCTCTTGCGCTTCTCAACGCGGCCCTATCAATCGTGAGCACATTTAATAACGGCGCGCCCACGCCGCCCGCCGTCCTTGGCGGTGCTGCCTTCACTCGGAACGTCAGCAACGGCTGTTGATTGCTTTATCGACTAAAAAAACGAAGCAATTTAAGTTATGAGTTTCTTTTTCGATGCATTATCTATTAAAAAAATATATAAGCCCAATATATAAAAATCAAAAACGCTTTCCATTCATATAAAGAACCTCCAGAAGATACGTAGTAACATAAAATATATACAGCGTGTCGTTACCATCGCGACAATAAATGAACACAGGTCTAACGCTACTTGCCAATAATCATAAAAAAATATTAACATTAAACAAAATCCATAATTAAAAAAAAATATTTTTCAAACAAACTAATTAAGTAAAAAAGAAACAAAATTTGTAACATCCTATACAACTACAACTGACTGATTTATACATTCAGAGACTTTTTCATTCGTTGCCACAGCGTCGCATTACAAGCCTCTCCTTCTAACGGTATGTTTTGTCTCTTTTAAATTCATTCAACTCATTCATATGCTTTGTGACCTTTACAAATGAACTTTACGTTACAGTTTTATACGTAAGGATGTTTTAAAATTCTTTGTTTTGCAAAATTTAATAACTCTGTAAATATTGACGTTTAAAGAATGTAAATTTTTGATACAATTTTAAAAAGTTATCCTCTATATGTGTGTTCATTTATTGTCGCGTTGGTAACTACACGCTGTACATATACGGGTAGCAAAGTACGTAAATAAATAAGACACTTCTAATAGTAAAATTAAACCTCGTCCTGGTTCTTGCACATTTTGGACTAAATATGTGCAAACACTTATTCGATGCCTGTGAGGCCGCGATAGTTGCTTGCTGCTTTTGCATTTGCTGTATTTGTAAATACTTTTAAATTTTTATTGAAAGCAATCAGATATTACTTTCAAAATCCCTCAAGATACCATAAATAAGAAAATCGAAAGGCATAAAGCTTCTGAGATAGCAAATTTTTTAAATCGATAAACTGAAATGTAAACGCAGCACAAAGGAGGCACATTCAAAACATAAGGACAAAACAATCTCTGAATTTTGTACTATTCGGAGCACGCCTGAAAATGAATCTGAAACAACGTCATAAATAACCCGCGTCTCTCCGCTCCCCCCTCCCCCCATCGCCCCTGCAGCTCCTTTCCCGTTTCCTCCGACGCTCATTTCGTTAAAAACCAAGCAGCAAGTTTCGGATGCTGCATCTCATAACCACAGTCCGCCTTTGTCGGGATAAAACTTTCTTTAGAATTGAGGTTGAGCAACAACACCAATTTTGCATTCCTTGTAACGCTAATAAATAAACCGATTTTTGCTAAAATTAAATCGCCAGTATGCTTGAAAGCCACTGAAAGCAATTCAAAATTTTATACTTTACTAGCGGACCCAACAGACGTCACACGACTTAACACTCGGTAACTTAAAAAAAAATGTGAATCTTAACCATTCTCGAATCGACCTGAAGACACAAAATGTTATTAAAATCGGTCCAGCCGTTTAGGAGATTTCAGTGACATACACACGTACAGTAGAGTCACTACATAGTACAAAGCAAAGTCGTCCCGCTGTCTGTCCCTATGCATGCTTAGATATTTAAAACTACGCAACGGATCTTGATACGGTTTTTTTTTTCTAGATAGAGTGATTCAAGAGGAAGGTTTATGTGTATAATAAATTGCACTGGGGCGGGTCGTTAGTTACACAGATATAAAGAAGATGTGATTTGCAGATTACCCAAATAATTATAATGGTATATTGACTTTGATTGACATGTAGTACAGATGTTTATTTTGCACAATTCATAAGGTTCATTATAACTACCAACACAAGAATAAATGATGGATTGTTGAAGGTATTACGAGTAGAGGAACAGAGATCAGAATCGGTCATCTTGTCACGCTCCCGTCGCCGCCTTCTCCAAATGAGTCGAGTCCGCTGACGCAATCGCACGACCGCTGACACGAGTGAAGTGCGATTGTTGTCCCAGTTGGAATTCCTTTGGGCGTAGCTCACGCACAGCTGCTGAGCGATGATCGCCACGGAACCAGAGGCCGCGGCTTCCAACCGGCTCCGAGCCACGCCACCGATGCCGTCACCGCCTGCCCTATGGCGCCTTCTCTTCCTCATTGTGCGCAACTCTTTAAGACCAAACTTAATTCACTTCCTTTTGTTTCGTCGCTATGTTGTCCCTGACCTATAGTGTTACTTGCATAAAACTTGCTTTTATGCAACTGTCTGATGCTATATTTATTTAAATTGCTGTAATAAACATATTTTTATAATGATCATTGACCTGGGTTATTATTTGTTCTGATTGTATACGCATACAAGCCGTTTTTGGTAAATAACATAATTGACAAGTACCAAGAAGCTAAGGATTAAAATATACTCAGTATTTTTTTGATAAACTCTGTGTTAAACACTAGTTTTGTTTTTTCTGGCAGATGTGATCAAAAGTAATTTAAGTTAACAGTTGTATAAATTATTTAAAATAATGAATGGAAAAAATAGTATTAGTCCAATTGAATCTAATAAATGAAATAAATAAAAATGCATATGACCGTTACACAAGCAGAAAGTATATTGAGACACTGTATAACTATAACCGCAGGAAATGCACCGGGATGGCATGAATTGCAACCCTCGGTGGCGATTGCTCATGGCTCAAAGCAGCATAAAGGCGAGTGCACTCGACTGCGCAGTGTTCAGCCAGGGCGAGGAACGTCTGGAACCACGACATATCGCAGTGCCGTGCATTGGTCATTAAGCTTATAGGTTGTTTCCAAAGCTGTTTGTGCACGACTGTACGCGTGCCCTGGCGTGTGAACAGGGCGGTGGTCCACATCCTTACCTCGCCGATGCCGATCACTAATTTTGCGGCGATAGTGCACAGAACAGCGATAGTTACATTAAGAAAGAAGACCAAGTACGCCATAAAGTTGTAGATCGTCTATGACCGGCTTAAGATATGCCTGCCAAACATAAACCTAAGTAATAAAAGGGGGATGTTAAGCCCCCCCCCCCCCCTCGAAATTTAATACATTTTTTAAATTGACCAATTCTCAAACACGAGAAGGGATTGTATTTTTATGTGTATTTTTTAATGTTACATTTTTCCTGAACCCCATGATTTCAACCTAACTAGCTACCTACGCCGGTGAACGTAGGAATTTTCATTAAAATTAGTTTCAGGAATTTTGGAGGAATAAAAGGAATTGTCATTTAAGCTCATTAGTTCGAGGAATTTTATTTAGGAATTTTCATTAGTTTAAGTATTAAAATTATTAGCACCAGTCCTTTCTGATTAGATTGGTCCTCGGCTTTGCAAAGAGACGTTGCAACTTTCTATTTTTTTGGACTTCCAAGAAGGACGCTTTCCACTTCAAAAGCCGGACACGCTTTTAGCACCACTGCGCTGTTAGGAATGTCCATGGGCGGCGGTGACCACTTACCATATACCTCTCATCAATAGTTCTTTCTTACTTTACTAAATTGAAAGGATGCGAGTACTATATTTAATGATGTGAGAGCTATTAGTAAGATATTTTCAAGCCTCAAAGCCCCAGTTTGGGTACAAGGTAACTAACTACCGTCGCCCATAGAGGTCAACACCCTCAGGGTTGCTGTAGTCTTCCGTGAGGTGATATGGTAGCAGCTGCTATGTAATTCTATCATTGCGAAGATGTTCTGTCCCAAATATTTCACTAAACGTACGCTATATATTAATTGAAACAAATATTACAAAATAGTAACTTATGCCTAAAGTACAATATTATAGTGGATATGTCAGTAATCTGGTAACTGTGGTAGGGCCACGCAACAGCATCCGCTGTTGCAAGAATGGGCAGGGTCCGTCCGGGGAAGTACCACAAGTGTTATACCGCTGTTCGTCTGGTTAGGTAACCGGGGCACACTTTTTTAAAGGTTGTCAACGCATCTGTCAGCCTTTGGGCATTCTAGATGTTCATGGGCGGCGCTATTTACTTAAGGTGAACCACCTGCTCAATTAACAACTTTCACATAAAAAATAGGTACCACAATGCTTATTGTATTTTCTATGTTTTTTACTTTTTGTATTTTTATGATTTTTATGTCACCGATGTACTATTTAAAATCGAGGAAAATCAGCAGGGATTTAAAAACATTATATCGAGATATTTATGAGGAGACATATTTTGTTCCCTCGTTAAATAAGTTTTATATTTACTCCAATTATCGTCTATTCGTGAGGTGGTGAGGCCGCAGAGCCCCACCACGCCACGAGGGCCGTCACAGCGGGGCCGTAACTCAACGCCACCGATGGCGATGGCGCGTGATTCGCGATGCCCTCTCTCGTTCGCGCAAAGTCCCGGTTTATTTTCGGGATCCCGATTTATCGCCAATTAACAGAGCTTTCAAAAAGGCCCCCTCGCAGCGGACACCCGATAAAGAATCAATTTATAAGACAGCTCGTACGCGATGAGTAGGGGTGCCCCACCCACAAATCGCCAATAAAATCGAAATAAAATGCGTATAATTAATTTTATTCCACAATATGTGATAATTGAAATACCGAATTGATAAACAGATGTCTTCTTTTTTCGAATTCTATCATGTCCATTAAAGAGTGTTCACGTTTATGGATCACAGGCGACATAACTTTTGACAATTCAATTAAATCAAATAGAATTTTTGTTAATTCAATTAAATCCATATTTTTCTTACAAGGAAACTTCCATCTTAGAAAATATCAATGAACCTAATTAGGAGTAGAAAATAGTGTGTTCCCTGTTTTGAAATAATATAGAGAAATATAAGAGATCTCGTTTCTAATGACTATACTTGTGACTACTTGTGTAGAGACCGCGTTGAATTAAAATCTAAGGAATTTCTTTAAGCTTTGTACATTATATAATATGCAACAACCCTAGAGAGGTGGACGGCTGCCTGTACAGGGAACGGTCGTAAAACATCGGATAAAAATGCTCTCACAACCTTAAGCAAGTAATTAATAGCTTCTTAATGTATGTTCTTACGATACCGTTGCAGTGCAGGCGTTTCTCTCTACGTAATGTACCTAAATTTACACGAGTATATCACTCAAGTGAAAGACTAATGCTTATTCATATGTTTGCTTCGTACAAGTTACTCAATATAGTATGGTCTCTTAGTAATTGCTAAAAATATGCATTCAAGGGTGACTTTTATTTTCAAAACAAATATTGCTTTCATTCTTAGTATCTTGTAGGTCACTTGAAAAGTGAAGCTTTCACGAGAGTCAGTTTTTAAAGTCAATAGGCAGCAGTTTCCAAAAGACAATAACATTGTGGTGAACGGCAGACAGGGACGCAGCGAAGCTATTTCGTGTCCGTATAAGCGTTTAACTACTGACTTTTCCTGCAGCATATTATTTCTTAAATAAATGGACTTAAGAACGTTGCAAGGAAGCCAGCTCGTCCCTCGGCAGGGGCCGGTGCGATGTCGGAGCGTTTTCATTAAGCCCGTGCTCCTCGGCGATAAACATTCGATCGGCTGGCCAACGTGCTTTGAGCCGTCTAAGTACGACAACGCTGGCGTAGACGTCGCCGCGCCGTGGCATTCCGCCCCATCCGACACCCGCTCACACCGTCACCGAATGCAATGCAATGCGCGATCGAGAAAGAAGCACACAACAAGTCAAATATAATAAATTTTCACATCAAAAACTTAGGAGACAGGAAATGTTTATGAGTTTTTAATGTCTATCCCATCAGCCCCGCTGAACCTGAGGATATTTTATACCGTAAAGTTTCGAAAACAAATCCACACCGGAGACGTCCCGGCCAAAAACTATTACTTGTGTTGGCTACATAATGATTATACAAATTAATAATTAATATAAACAAATTAATACTTGTTATTGCGTATAAATTATAAATTTTCTTTATTCTACTTTCAAGACAAATTTCTACAGAAATATTTGTTTTAACAAGTTTTGTGCATCAGGCATCTGCCATCCACAATGGGGCAAAAATAAACACCGTCTTTTCTTGTGACAATAAATTAAAAATATTTTTTTTCAACTAAATGATAAATTCTCTACTTCTATTCTAATGTTTATTACGCATCGTAGAATAATAAATGTTTCAACTGAAAATTCATTTCAAATTCATGTTTGCCTTAATTGAATGATAATAATTATTTAAAGCGTAAATGACGCAACTATAGTCTCATTATCAGTATTAATAACAACTCGTGGAACATTGCTGAACGCACAACGGTGTGACGGGAGGCCACGTCTTCCCCGGTCCGAGCGTTCCTTATTGCCGCTCGTGATGATTATGACTTTAATAACGTAGCATTGTTCATACAACGAGCATCCCGCATACAACGAGACATGCAAACCTATTGTCATTCTATGTATCTCAATTGGGTGAAATTACATTAGGCTATAGCCCATCAATTTGCACATATATTTTATCATTTTCATCTCATTTCTCAAATACGGCAACCGTTAGAATTGGTGATGAAATTGGCTGATAAATACTCCATATGTATAATCAAAGTAGCATATTACTGTTATTTTGACCCCTGTTAGTCGTTAAAGGAAAAATATATAAAGGGACTGAATTTACTATATTGTTGCATGAATTGTTCCTTAACGTCATATTATTGCATCTGGCAAATAAATTACATGCTTTTTTCGTGTCATTACAGCCTACCTACACTGCTAAAAACCAACCACCAGCAACCGCGACGGTTCCGCAGTGCTTTGGCAGAGTGCCATGTGCATTGTTCTAAACCCGTTACGCTTCCCTGCCATGCCCATTGATTGTACTAGACATGCGGCCCTCTCACTGCGCCGAATTTGAACAACGTCGTAAAGAACCTAAGGAATCATATAAAATGACATCACAATCCCGGTTAATCGATTAAATGTGCATTTGTACGTTTCGTTATCAGCTAAAAATCATAAAATAATAATGTTGAATAGAGTTCTCGACACATACCTATCTCATAGTAGCTTTAATTATTACTGACTTTCCTATATTATTATTTGGAGAATCCTTAGATCGCATCGTAACACCCAATTTAGTAGTATTGACTTTCTTCAGTTGATGATAACTGGATGGACGGACGGACGGACGGACAGACAGCGGAGTCTTAGTAATAGGGTCCCGTTTAATTAGAAAAGTGCTCTATCGACCTTACGGCCTTGATCATCAATGGCATCGTCTCGTCTAATCAAATTCCCGTAGATTTATAGGATTGAAAGCCGAAATTAATATGTTCGTTTCGAAATTAATTATTGAATTTGATGGATACTCGTGTATTTTAACTTTTAAGGCACTAATAGTGTCAAATCAGTAATGTTTGATTGCCACTACATTGTAGGAATACTTTTGAGTACCGGCCTTAGTACCTACAGTTATTTTAGCCGTGTTACTCGTGGAAAGAATGGGTTATAGATTTTTAACCCATTCTTTTCAGAACTCTTTTGCCCGTATCCGCCCATGGACGTTCGCAACACCCATATGGGTGCAAATGCGTTGCCACCTTTAAATAAAGTGGGCCCCGGCTACCTCAACCCCGGTAACACTTCTACTTTCCGTCGGCGTGTGTGAGGTCTTTGTACTTACCCGGACAGAGCTGCCCATTCGTGCGACAGTGATCACCATTGCGCGTAAACCATAATGAAAACTAATATGTGGATACTATTTAATAGTGACTAAAATAATATTTTATATTTGTGTTTATTTAAATGTATGGATGTGGAGGCGAAAGAGCTATGTGAACACGTTATGATGCCAGGATTTCGAGTGTCATTTTGCAGATGCTCAAGTTCAAATTCAATTCAAATTCAAAATATCTTTTTTCAAATAGACGCTTGCGTGTTCTTATGACTGATAATGTCGAATCTTACGTAAAAAATAGATATATGAGTTCGTGACGTACCACCGGTTCGGAAAGTAATCTCTGTTGAGAAGAGCAAGAAACAGTTGCTCTTTTTCAAAAATATCACTCATTAAATATATCAATATGACATGCAGTACTGGTAGTCTTACTTTAGCTTACGCCAGTACCACCAGCATTCCCTCCACACATTGGTATCGTACAAGCTTTGCTTAGTTTGGGACTAGAAAATGTTGTGTACAAATGTGTCCTAAATATTTATATTTATATTTAATTAGGCGTTTAAATTGATCGAGCGGCAGGCTTGATATCCACTGTGGGATTTTATTTTTATTATACATGCGCACACTTTTCCCCATGAACAACCTATTTATATTTTGTACGCGAGTGTTTAATTTATGTCTGTCACTATTATTTAGGTAATAATTTAGGTAGATTATGTAGAATGTACAAAATATTACAATGTATACAACGAATGTATTGAGACGTAACAGTGAGTACCTATATCAATCAGTTTAAAAAGATTTCCAAGTTTATTCCGGGCTCTCAACCTCACTGTAGTATAGGTAATATTAATGAAACTAAAAAAAAAAACAGAAAATGAAGTACTACATTGTATGCAACATTTCTTTTTAGTAAAAATCGACATTTTTATATAGTATGTAGTATTTCAATTGAACTGCCTTCTATAAATTAAACTTTTTTGATCGATCCACGGCAAGGTGATTACGGTGACCACGCAGACAGCTCGACGCCTACTCACCTATAACACCCACCACAAACGTAATTTCATCTCACAACAGTATCGAGTGTCAGAAGGTCTTCAACAACAATAATACTTTGATGCGATATATTTAATTAATTACACATATACAAAACTTAAGATTAAAGGCTATTACTACTATACAAGGATAAGCAAATGTCAGTAACATCAATTAACATTAACTGTATTTGGTAACAAACCGTAGAGCGACCTGTAAAGGTAAAGCAACAGCCTATATCCTCACGATGTTTTCCTTCACCGCTGAGCACGTGATAATTCAGCGCTTAAAATTAACAATTTCATTGGCGGCGGCACCGGGGATGGACCTGAGGTTGCTCGAGTGTACTCAATTAAAAACGAGCGTCCAATGAGCTATCACGGCTCTCGTATGCTCGTGCATATGCATAACGTCTGCACTGCAACCAACTTCCGCGCCCGCTTCGAGTTGCGACTGCCAATTGAGTGCCCTGATGCCCTTCGGTGCATTCGTGTGCCGGTGGCGGCGGCGGCGGCGGTGTCACCTTGCGCGGTTGCCAGTCGCGCCCCCTCCCCCACCCCAACCACACCCTGCCCCTCCCACGCCTGCGCCCCATGTAAAAGCCACCACCTCCCCCCGTTCCCCCGTCCCCCCACACCGCTTCACCCTCAGAGGGAGGAAGCAGTCAGGTGCACAGCTTGCAACAGTAGCTCTGTGGCCCGCCGCACCGGTTGCCATGCGAAATACGCAAAACCACTCGCCTCCTCTCATAATGTAATGCCGTTACACATATTGCTATACTCCGCAATAAATACATATGATGTTCTTTATCATTCGCTTACTTAATAACGGACGAACCTGTTTATATCGTGTATTTGTGTGTTCAATGATATCATTAACGCTAGACACAAAATCGTAAAGGCGATCTTCTCCGTATTTAGGGCGCTTCGTCTGAATTTTTAAACAACTTTAAACATTCTGAGTAAATTACATTTATACGAAAGCCACCATAAAACCAAACCAATAAACTTAATGACGTTACGTAATTGAGTAGTTTTCTTAATTAGTTTTCTTAAGCCAGTGTAGGTTCTCCTAAACTAGTCGCACGTACCTACGTGAAATTATATAATGATGATTTACTTGATATATTAAAATAGTTTAGTAACTGTATATTTGAATAAGTACCGATATTACCGTGAATTACCAAATATGTAAACTTAAAATTTAAATGGGTTCATATATGTACTTCTCGCAGTATGAATTACCTTGCAAGTAGATCGTGCAATGTGGGTCCACGAAGTAAATTAGATCAGATAATTTAGAAGCGGCCTTGCGCGAAATCCCTCAAAAGATAACGACACTCGTTTGCCAAAAACGTGGCCTAAATTACGCGAGCGTCAGACATCTCCGTAAACGGGTCCAATAAAGAAAATAATTATCATCCTGTACGTTATGTGCAACGCAATTTTTGTGTTTAGAAGGTCATTGGGGGTTATAAACTACGCGCCCTTGGCTTTAATTAATCTGAGCAATACTATCCATGAACATTGTTCAGATTAGCTAAAGGTTAGTATTAAAAATTTATTCAACTGCAACGATAAAAGAACAAACAACTTTACAGCAAATTAATTATAGAAACAATATCATTGAGGTGAAATTAAGATTTTGAGTGTTGCCAAAAATCGCTTTAACAAAAGCAAAACTAATCGAACAGATTCATCTACACCCTTTAGAATCAGTTAAGTTATAAATTGATCTTTCATCCGAAATTTTACATTTAATTCTATTTAGAGCCGCCATTACTCGCAATATCTAGCACTCGTAAACAAAACTTCCAAGGAGTTTCGTTAATGAAATTCTCGCAGAAGCAAAGATCTGCGTCGCAACTTAAATGGAGGGCATCGTGGAGGACGCCTCAAGATAAACGATCCGGCTCGAATTCATCTCGGGACTAATTCGTGTCGTGTTTGGGCAGCGGCTCGATAATTGTCACGCTACGGCTTTAAATCGCTGTAAACGAAACGTTAAATAAAATTACGAGACGAATAAAGCAGTCGTTACGCTTAAATCACTTGAGCCGACCGACGGTCACACCGAAGCGACCCTTTTTTGTGTCACCGTTTGTAATTTGATCCATGCTTTCCCAATATAATAAAAACACCATATGGATTTCAAAGAGTACGTTAAATAGCGGAGTGTATGTTATAGTACGGCTGCTCACGGCTGTAATAAAACTTCTTTAGCTCCATCTATATGTATGTAAAGTAACAGCCTATACATGTCCCACTGCTGGGCATAGGCCACCTCTGTACAGAGGGTATCGGCGCATAGTCCACCACGCGGCCCCACTGCGCATTGGCGAACTTCACATATTTTCGTTTTTTTTTTTTTTTTTTCGAAAATGTTATTATATATACTTTATTGAACACCAAAAAAACATAAAAGGAAATGTTACAGAACTATAAACTTAAGAGGTATAAACAATAAGGCGGTCTTATCGCTAAGGAGCGATTTCTTCCAGCACCCATGTGGTTAAAAATATTTTAGGTTGGACAGCGGTAGGTGGTGTAAATTATAAACTTACATACTAACATTTAAATAAACTAAACGAATATGTTGTATTTTTGTATAATATTAATATACCAAATAAGATACAATAGACATACATACATCTAAACATATACTATACAATAACTTACAAAAATATGTACAGGAAGAAAGAAAAAATAAATAAATAAATATACAAATGTCGTCGGTGATAATCAGCTTGAGCACAGTGACAGATAATAATTTTTAACGTCAGTTTTAAACTTACGTAACGTTTTTGAGCGCTGGATTTGTGGAGGAAGCGCGTTCCATAGGCAAATGGCTTTGACCGTAAAAGAGTTCTTAAAATAGTTGGTCCGGAAAGTATGCGGGGTGATAATAAGTTCTCTGGCTGATCGCAGAACTCTTTCTGGTCTGTCATGACCAAGAAATTTAAACTGGTCCTTCAAATAACTCGGAGTCGTAGGATTGAACAAAACACAGTACAGAAGAGAAACAATATGCAGATTCCGGCGAAGGCGGATGGGTAACCACTTGAGCTTTGTACGATATTCGGAGACATGGTCATACTTGCGTAGACCGAAAATAAATCTGATAGCTAAGTTTTGAATTCGCTCAAGCTTGTTAAGTTGGTCCTCGGTTAAATCAATATAGCTTGCTTCCGTATAATCGAGAAGGGAAAGAAGTAAGGATTGTGCTAACATAATCTTAGTAGGAATGGGGAGAAAAGAACGTAAGCGCCGCAGATAACCCATGGCTGCAAATGTTTTCCTGCTAACTCCCTTTAACTGGTGAGACCACGAGAAAGTAGAGTCGAAGTGAACACCAAGGTTTTTAACAGTTTTGCTGTATGGCACCACAACACCATTTAATGTTATCGAGGGAAGGTTATCCCAATCTACCCTTGAAATGATGCCAGCTCCGCCAACAATGATGGCCTGGGACTTGCAAGGATTAATTAATTTGATGGATTGATTGAATTAATAAAGATAGCAAAGAGTAATGGAGACAACACACCACCTTTAGGCACTCCAGCTCGTAATTCACACCAGGATGAAAACATACCATCAATGCGAATACGCTGCTGTCGGCCACTGAGATAACTCTGAAACCAGCCGGCCACTGGTGGAGATATGTTAGCAGAACGTAACAGACTCAGCAGAATGTCATGATCAACAGAATTAAATGCATTACTGAAATCCAATAGTACCAATATTGTAAACTGTTTATTGTCCATACCTCGTTGAATATCGTCAGTAATTTTAACCAGCGCTGTAGTTGTACTATGTCCTGACCGGAAACCGGATTGAAATGGATTTAAAAGGCAGTTTCTATTCAGATGGAGATTGAATTGGTGGAAAATGAGTTTCTCTAGTACTTTAGATAGAAAAGGGAGAATGAAGATAGGGCGGAAATCGGTAAAGTGCACGGCATGAGCCTTTTTAGGAAGAGGAGTTACTAATGCACTTTTCCATGCTTCAGGAAATTTAGCTGTGGAGATAGATTCATTAAGGATATGGGTGATAAAAGAAATAACTAGGTCAAGGATAGGTAGGATCATGTTACGACTAACACTGTCATTCCCCAGGGCATTCGACGAGACCGACAATGTTCTTTCTAACATCACACTCAGTGAAAGGAGTGAAATTAAACGGTGGGAAATCAGGAGTTGGCATTTTAGAAAGAATACTCAACATGATATCTTTATCTGATCTATCAATTGTACTGGAAGAGGTAAAATGTTTGTTAAGGAGTTCAATATCAATATTAGTATGAAGAGAGCTAGAGTGTAATTTACCAACTCCCAGAGATTTAAGAAATTTCCAAACTTTGACAATGTCGCCGTTTTCGACAGATTTGGGAATGTGGCGTCGTTGTGCATCTCTACACAATGTATTGCAGCGATTCCGTACTTTATTATAGTTTCGTAGATTTTTATCAGATTTATCCGCCTTAAGCTTACTTTTTGCGTAACCTTTTTTCCTGATAAGTTTTTTAAGATCATCGGTTAACCAAGGCACAGGGAGGTGTTTCATTTTTACAGGCTTAATATAAGAAAATATGCAGGTTTCCTCACGATATTTTTCTTCACCGCTGAGCACCTGATAATTAGGCGCTTAAAATTAACAATTTCATTGGTGCCGGAACCGGCGATCGAAATCAGGTTGCTCGAGTATAATGAATCTACAAATATTTAAATTTATTATGGGTTTTCATTGATGGCTAGTACCACGACCTCATAGAAGACCGGCGTAAAGTAGAAGTGTTGCACTTCTGCGTTTCGTCTGGAGAGTTAGTTAGCCGGGGCCCACATTATTAAGAGGTGGCAACGCATCTGCAACCCTACGGGTTTTCTCACATAAAAAATCTCCCTCTCAACTTTCGTTCGCCTCGCCCGAACACATTTATCCAAACGCTCTTGTCACGCATTCACCATCTTACTGGGGTACTCCCCAGTAAGCTGGTGGGTGCGTGAAATTTTTTTTATTCAGTTCCTTATCAAGCGTGCGTAAAGAAGTTTTACTTTTTTTTTACTAGTTTTACGTTTTTTAGACTTGCGGTAACATAACTATGTGAATAGTCTTATATGGAGCGATACGGTGAAAATTTGGCTTCCCCTTGATCTGCATTTCTATTTGCAGGGCTCGACATCTAATCTAATCCGGCGTTAAGAGCCCACTTCAAAGTCCACACAAGAAGAATCCTATAATATCTGTTTACGTATCTTTCGTTTCACACAGTTAATAACATTAAAACACAACAGAACTGAAAAGTAAAAAATAATTTTTAATAAATTTAAATTATGAATAATGTGATGTAGTTATTTTTATTGTAGAAAAGCGAAGGAAGCTTGGAGATATTGTTAGAAGATTTTAATGATAATTATATACAGTACCCGGAGGACCGGTTTGTTTTTCTTTTTTGGTAAATCGTGTATTTTGGAAATTACATTTAGATACAAATTACTGAGTAATGAAATATGCATAATATTTTTCGATCTTACCGACGTAATAATAAGAAAATATGAACTGATGTTTTTCAAAAAAAGAAAGAACTAAAAAAAAGAGAAAAAAATAAAAAAATAACAAATCGACACAAAATTTAAAATAAATATAGCAATGATCTGGAATAGAAAAAAAAGTAAAAAAATAAATGTGTACATGTAAATGATCGTGACGCGAACCACGGCCGTCCGATTACCGACCGAGCTATTATGCCATTTTCTCTTGCGGCGAAATTTACCGTCATATTCGAATTATATTTTTCATTCCCTGAAAACAGGGATAAAAGGACAT